TCTCTCTCTCTCTCTCTCCCTCTCTCTCTCTCTCTCTCTCTCTCTCTCTCTCTCTCTCTCTCTCTCTCTCTCTCTCTCTCTCTCTCTCTCTCTCTCTCTCTCTCTCTCTCTCTCTCTCTCTCTCTCTCTCTCTCGCTCTCTCTCTCTCGCTCTCTCTCTCTCGCTCTCTCTCTCTGCCTGTCTGTCTGTCTGTCTACAGCAGTATGGGCGTGCGTGTTACGCGCATGCATTGACATTTCATGTCGAAATTTCACCGGGCCGCTTTCAGGATGCGAATATGCAGTGATGCATGATGTGGGAGCGTAGCCCTTTCTACTTAGCGGGGTTATGGGTTAGGGGATCGGAGTCGTCCTCTAGTGGACCTCCGCCGCGTGCTGTCTCAGTGTTGCCGGATAACGCATAATCCAGTTGCTGTTGCGTAACTATATATATTACGTGCAGTTGTTTATTCACTAGGCGGTGCGTTGCGTTGTTATCGTGTTTTGTTCACCCACCCGTCCCCTCTGAGTACATGGCCGCAGCGGATTTATACTTAACGTTACTCTCGCAGCGTCGGAACCGTGTCGACCCGCGTTTTCCCCACGTCGCGAATCCGAGGCAGCAAATTGGCAATGTCATGATCATTACATTGGGAGCTTGTTGCCGTCGCACTGGCTCGTAACCTTCACAAAATATTCCCCGCGCTTATTCTCTGCTTCATGCAGTCAAATGGACGTCAGCGTGCAGATGGACCACAGTGTTTGCTCTACGTCAGCAGCTGGTGACATAGGGGGTCTGGTCATTTTCTGTCATCAAGCCAACTGAAGAAATTGAGTATGTCCATAGTTGATGTTGCTTACGGTTGGTTGCTGACGCAGGAGGAAATTTTGTAGTTAAAGTTAGTACTATTGTTATATGTTGAGGGGAAATAATCAGCAAATTAGTTATGGTTCTTTCTTCATGTGCTGATTCAAGTTATAGTTATTTATTATTTGATGAAGATTTTGGTGTTTAGGTGTGATAAATACCCAATTCGCTTCTACATGAGGGTAGAAACCAGCAACATCACACACCAATAGGAGGGGCAACAAGGACAGCCTAGCCTTTTGACCGAAGTAATTCAGCCATGCAATTTCCTGCAATGTATACATTTAATAATAGTGTATAACGCTAATGGCTGTGAAGATCTTCTGCACATTCGGGGATATTGAATGGATATGTGGATCGCCATCAATGATCGCCATGCAGTCTTTGGGTTATTTTAACGGGGCATCATGTGTCATATGTGCGTGCATGGCGGCGTGCGTGCGTGCGTGCGTGCGTGTGCGTGTGTGTGTGTGTAGTGTAGCGGATTTTAGAGGCTAGATTCTATATTATTAAATGTGGTATACTAAAAGGTTTAATATGTTTAGTGTTGCTCAATTTAAATAGTATGAGTGTGCGTGCGTCGGTGTGTGCGCGCGTGCATACGTGTGTGCTTGCATGCCTGCATATTTAATTTTTGATCAAATTTACAATGACTGAATAATAGCTGTGTGATCAGACACATCAATATTTTTGAACTAAAAATATCTTATAATTAACAATTTTGTACAGTCTTTTCAAGATGTGTGATTTCCTGAGCGTTTTGATAGAGGTAGATCTGACTAATGAAGCTTTCATTCCATGATCTGTATAGGAGTTAATATTACAGGAAATGTGATTCAAGGTAGTTACGAATATGCATTACTATATCTAACAACAAAGCCCGCTTTTCACAATACCTGTCTGATATTATGACGTTAGTTGTCATGGCCTGCTTCCATGCGTGTGTCTGTACTTTCTATCTCTGAATCGAACCGCAACTGTTATTTACGCATACAAATGCTTCAAAAGCATGTACTAATGTGGGTGTTGCGATTAGTTGGTTACTTCGCAATAGTATCTGACTGTGTGGTTCTATCTGTGGGGTGTTAATGGCAGGACGTTGGCCTCTCAATCTGGGTATCACTTTTCTAATGCAAGAAAATGAACATCAGCACAAAATCGCATCATGTTTCGTGCCCCGTGCCCATAACTAGGCGACAGTCTAGTGTTCCACATGCTCACCTGTCAGTAGGTTGAGTCACACTGGTTTTTTTCAAGTTTCCGATTTGTCTGATCGTATAACTTGCGAATTGGAAACGGAGCTGACGTTTTCTTTTCTCTGGAGTGTGTAATCACCTCACGGAGGATTATTGGAAACTTTTTTGTAGTTTGCTAAAGGACGTGACTTTGTGAAGTGGTCTCGCCCGTTGTTATTCTTTCACCTTTATCAATGTTGTTGCTCTCTGAAGTAGGGCCGTGATGGTTGACAGAGGTAGCGACGGATGTTGTTATACTGACTAGTTCATAATTACTGTGTAGTTACTATGTTGCACTGTTGTCGGGTATCCCTCCATGCTGTTACTCTGCTGTTGGCATTGTTAAATTCATGACACCATTCCCATATTTGCGCCACTACGGCGTTTCTGCTGAAGGCGGTCTCGTAACGTGTTTGATGTATCGAGTACGGATAATATATGTGAGCCAGCAACGCGACCCCCAGTCTGTCACTACGGCTGCATACGCGGTCGTAGAGCGAATGTTGTTCCTCTAATCATCTAATGCATGTTCGCATTTGGTGCTGCGCGTCTTTCATGTATCGATACGTCGCTCAGCAATCAGAGCTGTGGCAGGTGCTGCATATATAGATGCATCTTTGCATTCACGTGCGCGCACGCTCGTACACTTGTGTGGATGCACCTACGCACACACGCAAACACTGACACACACACACACACGCGCGCGCGCGCGCACGCGCACGCATCACGCTTGCACAGTCGTTATCGGTAGCGCAGTATAAAACTAGCAATGTCTGTCGTCGTGTTACACAATAAAGGCATTCATTGACACCCAAGCCAGCCATTAGTTTGAAATGCACTTTTTCTGTGAAGACTACCTGAGCACAGACATCATCTGCAGGGCCGTAGGCTGAGCAAATTCCTATGGGGGGGGGGCAAAATTTCATGACTCGACTGGTGAACTCGAGTGATGGGCGCAGCTCTTGATCGACGTCCATAGTGTGGTAGGGGTGGGTCTGAGACAAGGCTTTCACGGATAAGTGACCAGAAAATAACGTTAGGGTTATTTACGATTATTAGCTAAGCTTATTTTTTAATTTTGCTCCAAAATCTAGTGGGGCAGCTGCCCCCCTTGCCTCCCCCTCCACAGGCTACGGCCCTGATATTAGAAGCATTAACCCAAAGCGCAACTTGCTTCTGACGCTATGTGAAAAAGAATCGAGCTGAATACGTGTTTTGGTTAACTGTTGAACGAGCATCTAATTTATTTCAGGCTACATGGAGAAAGTTTTTCAACTCTGATGAACCACATCTGCAACAAAGGTCCTTCTGTGCTCATCATTAAAGACAAGGATGGTTATGTTTTTGGTGGCTTTGCATCGAAATCTTGGGAAATGAAGCCACAGTTTTATGGTATGTTGTCTACGGTGCAATAATGTGATGTACACGCACTCACTCACGTTCGCACACGCACACGCGCGCGCATGCAGACATGCATGCAGACGAACTACTTCAATATGTGACATCGAGGTATAAGGTGTGATCAATAATTTATTTAAAAATCAAAAGCATTTTTAGAGCGGAAATAGAGGACAGGGGGAAAAGGGTGGATGGCTGATTTGTTGACAGAACCTATCTAGAAATTCTTTTGTTTCAGTGCTATCTATCCGTTTTTGCAACTTTAAATGTGTAGCTATGTAGTGAACTTTTAACAGCACTTTTAATGTCTGTCCCTCTATAATGTTATGTCTGCTCCTTTTATAAACATAATCAGGTGAATATCACTGGATTTTAGGATAGTATGACTTCTTTTTACCATGGATCGATCTTTTGTAGAAGGCTAACCACACCACGTATATCTGTTGCAGGGAATAGCCGATGTTTCCTCTTCATCCTTGCCCCACAGGTGGCCCTGTACGACACTAGTAGCTTGAATGAGAACTACATGTACCTCAACCTCAATCAGCAGACGCTGCCAAATGGATTAGTAAGTTGTAGTAAAAATGATTATCAGAAAACTGGTAAAACACCCGCAGACATTTGAGCCCCCCAACTTTTCAAAAACACTCAAAATGTGTCTTTAACAATATTCAAGGCGAAATTGGTCCAGTTTTTACTTACGGTTTTGTGTGTGGATGATAACTAAAAGCATTCATTCATCTTTCAGACTAACATCAAATGTTTTGCACGAATGATAAGTGACTCATTTAAATAGGTCGTAAAACTAAAACGATTATTATTCTCTGCCACGCAGTGACGCAGTTGCGGGGATATAGTTTTGCAGTCCGTTCACCACACTTGCGAGAGACAATTATTTTGCGTATATCTCTAGGCTTATTCGTTTTTAACTTATCTAAATTATTGTTAGGCAGAGCTTGTAGAATGGTGCAAGTTTGGCCGTGGCATTGATTCAATTCCAGACAAACAGTCTTAAAAGGGGAATGGCTAGCCTACAGTGATAAATAACGTTTATAAAGATATATCAATATTCGTGTGATTCGGATACAGACTTGATGCTTTACGTTTACTTACTATCACTGAACTGCAGACGGCAACGATCCGATATAGATTCCGTTCGTTTAATAGTTTCATGCATATTATTGAGAATCTTGTTAATTATCAATGATTAATTATGAATTATGAATCAAGTTGTAATTATCTCGTTTATCCATTCTCAATTTAGTACTGCAACAAGACGCAACTTATCTTGTAGTATCGCTGAAGGGGTCGTTGTCGTATCAGGTACTACAGTTACAGTCCTATAGACCGAAGGTCCGATAGACCGAAGGCCCGATAGACCGAAGGTTTATTCGAATACGCAGTGGCTACACGTCCGGAATCGGTCGCCTAGCCTCCAGGCTACGCATCCGGACATCCACTGATGCCGTATTCGAACGTGAATATGCCGCACATCCACCGATGCCACTATAAACCATATATATGCCCTAACCCTAACCCTAACCCTTTGCAACATTCGGTCTATCGGACGCTTTCCGTGAGGCTATAGGGCTGCCCCGGTACTACAATATGTACCCGAACGGCGGTACAGTGATATGAGTATACTGCAAGATGTACCCTAACCTAACGAGACACTCGACGCGCGTAGCACCGGGTGCGGCCCCCATACCTCATATAAAAATATAAACATAATACTAAACAACCTAAAACTACCTCGGGTACATATCTGTAGTACCTGATATGACAACGACCCCATCTGCTGTAGTATCATGTGTTTCCGTACAACGTGATGGATTTTAGTCTCGCATGTCAATTTAATTACATAAGACTCTCCAGTATTGGCTGCAGCTGCTTTACTGTTATGGCTTACTTTACTTTGACTGATTATTATAAGTATTGATGCTGTTGATGTATTGGAATGCAGTTTATCTACTCGTTTATTAAAGGATTTTTTCAGTGCGTATGCTGATGGAGAATTTTATTGTTCATTAAAGTTAATGAGGTTGCTGATTTATGACGATAGCGTTATATAGGGTGACAGAATATTCATATTGGCAATTCACAGTGCATGAGCAGTGAGGTAGTGAGATTTCTCTACAAATTTAAATTCACGAAGCGGGCTGTTGATATGTGATAATGTTGTAAACAACGTCGTGTATTCCTCCTTTTCCATTGTACAACACAATTACAAACTATTAGCATGAATCACAACTTTTACTGGCAGTGACATAATTTCCTATTTCTATCACATAAAAAAGGTGTAGTTATATAAACCAGAATTGGTGATCAGTGCATATTGAATCATCGGGGTTGTAATCTCGTGAAATTGATTTGAGATTATTTTCTGACACTAGGTGCGTGAAGATTCAGCATTTCTTCCTATAATCACCAATGCACTCTGGCATACATATTGCCACAATAATAAGTAATAACTATAACTTTACTTCTGTATTCTTACAGGGTATGGGTGGCCAGTTTGAATACTTTGGCTTGTGGCTAAGCAATGAATTTGGAAAAGGATATAGCAAGGCTGGACCACTGTGTTCGACATACAACAGTCCACAGCTCTCCAGCAAAACCGAGTTTGAAATTGACGTCATGGAGGTGTGGGGGACAGGCCATGGTGTAGAAACTGAGGAGGTATATAGGCTTCATGGCTTTTACGTGCAGGGAATAGGATGGCATCTACTAAGAGGGACGTGCATATATTGCACTATACAATTTCGATGGCAATTGTAATAACAAGCAACTGTGGAATATCGTTACAATCAATTAAAATATATGTATATAATTCATCTATACGTTATTTTCAGTACGGAGAGAAACCAAGCATTCTTGATAGTGATCCGGAGGCAACAGCCATTCTGCAAATGGTGGGACGTGGGCAGCACAGTGAGGGCTTGCGAGAACATGACAGCAAGAACGAGAGCCCAGGAGATGTGGCTCTACCTTCCGGCATGTAGCTGCTAAGTCATCACATGCACAATACTACTATTTTTTGGTATTTTTCTAGCAAATTCATTCATAAAAACTGATGTTCGTATATGTTGTCATTGCTTGCATTCCATGTTAGTTCTCCTGGCCAAATTCTATTACGTTTAAGGCACAAATAGAAAATAGCAAGAGTGGATTCGGTCAGTTAATTAAGATATAATTTAAAGTCACATTAGAAAATAAATAGACATTATTTCCCTCAGAGAATGTAGGCAGAAACGTATTCTGCACGAGTCATTGTTAAACCAACCATGCTTAGCTTATATGGTATTGTCAGGATTTAAAGGGATACTAGACTCTGGGATTTTACTGCATACAACTGTACTTACTGTATAACAAATCGTCTATACCCACACGTACTTGTTACCAGATACCTAATTTAATTGTTATAATTAATTATACATCAACGCTACAAAATTTGAACGGCAGCCAATTAGACACCCACAACGCGACGCCGTGCTGGGCTACCAGCCGTAAAATTTCCGCAGGTTCCTCAAAAATATATTTTGCGACGCTGTATCAGACGAGACTATGGGCCAAAAGGTGCAAATTATATTATACCCTAAAGTGCTATTTCAAATAACCGGATCAACGATGTTCATTTTAGCCACACTAAATTATGCCATAATGAACTGAAGACATATTCAATTATAAGATAGTTACAAATCCTTTGCTTCTTAGAAATTAATCTAAATAAGCAAACACCCTCGCGGTCTGTACCCTTGACTGGAGAAGTCCTTTGGCGGCAACTTTATTCAGATCGTACCAGACGACATTGAGATGCCGCAACCACCACCTCAATTAACACCACAACTGAATCGTGTTATTTTAAGGATAACTCTCGAAAGTTAGGCCAAAAAAAATTTTAAACTGAGATTTTTTCATTTCAATTTTATTCGGCTGTGCCTACCCATAGAATTCGTGACATTACCATGTTCATCATATAAACGCTAACATGTAACCGTCACAGATAAAGCGATTTTGATCTGCCCGCTACATGTTAGATAATATAGACACGGCGGACGTCATCGATAAGACAATCAGAGACATGATTAGTCACCAGGAGAGCTTCATAAAGCCAGTATTCATTCAGCCGTCAACACCTCACAAATCGAGACCTGTCATCTGACATGTATAATAGTACATTCATAGTACCCATACTGGCTAGTGATCATAACACAACGTATCAAATCTAACACCGACATGACCCAAATATAGTCTAACCCCGCTGCAATATCAACACCTTACTGAACATTGAGGTACATAACTACAAGACGGACGCCGTTTGTTGACATATTAGCATTTGTGACCGTCAGGAGTATGGACGCTGAGCTCACGTAATTCTCAGATTTCTCAAGTGCCAAATGGAGCAACATGTGACAATTAAAGCCCGAGCAACGAGCCCATTGCCGAATGCAATTTGCTCAAAAAAACAGTACACGATAAAACGAATGATCGTTAAGCAAAGTTCCATGAAATGTTCGGTGACAATCTCGTCATGCAAAAACGTCGCCGAACATTGTATTCGCGGAACAATGTCCTGAGATCGGATATGTTGATATCTCGAACCATGTCGCGAATGCCCGTCAAGGTTGCGCAGAAATGTCGAACCAAATTTCTGAGGAAACATTTGTAAAGTTAGATAACCAAAGTGCAGCACGAACTTGTCAACAATGATTGATTTGGCCTCAAACATCATGCGCCCGATACAACTATGACTCCTTACAAGTATCAGAGACGAAACAGCTAAACTAGACCGGCGCCATGAATGTCGGCCTGAATAGTAAGCAATAGAACCAGATTTACATATGACAGATGGACCATCTCTAATTCCGCTACACAGGAAATGCAAAATGTCGCCATGTGCGCATACAATCAGACCGGCCAACAAGAATCGAGCAATTGTCCACCCGCACATTGCCAGACAAAAACATTTGTTCGGGAAAATGTTCGGCAATGTGCACCAGGCTTTAGTGGTGTCAGTTAGTCGCGGATATGTCGCAGTAAGTACTAACAGTAGATATTTCACATACGTTCACCCATTTTGCACACAGGCGGTCACTCATTGTGAAAAATAGAAAAACGATGATTTCTCCGTTTCGATTTCTGGCATAGTAGCCGATGTATAAATGGATATTTTTCTGTGATTACAACTCGGATTAATTTCATTTTACACTCGTTTTAATGGTAACATATTGCTGTAAAGATGTTCGTCAGGGATTGTTATTAAGTGCCGTATTTTATTAGTTATGCCTCTTTATTCGCTAAAATTTTCAATTCTAACACAACTTGATTTTTAAGCGGTTTTTCCAGTTTTCTCGGTAAATATGGAAATTAAAGAAAAATCCAGACGCACTATTTTTGTCCATATTGTGCTTAACATGTGGCAAAAATTTTGTATCCTCACTCTTTCTGGTAGTTGAGAAATATCCAAAATACCATTTTTACATAAAAATTCAAAATTTGTGTGATAACATAATTAGGTGCTGGAAATTTCATGAAATTTTTTGGCTTGAGCATAGAGATATATCTCTTCTATAAATAAAACAAGTGATTGATTCGATTCATTTGACAATAAACGTTTAATCTTCACTAGAGCAATACCCCTGCAAAAGGTGGAGAGTATCCTTAAAACATTTAAACAAAAATATTTCTAATGGTGAATGAACCATGAAACCTTTTATGTAGCATAATTTTAACCTAAATTAACTGAAAATAACCCTAGAACCTAGAGTAACGGATCCCTTTAAAGAATAACCTGGTTTGGTATTCATTTTTTAATTCTTTTAGTGTGTATATCAGTGTCGCATATCCACACCAAATCTGTTATAATTTTGGTAAAGTGTTTTGTTGGATCAATGTATGGATTTGTCACAATGTATGGATCATATAT